GGGAAAGGAGGGGAAGTTTCTCAGTGCGCCCCCTGCAGTCTAAACTCACAGCAGCTGAACTAAGAGCTGGTCTAAGCCATCATCCCATCAACGTGATCAATGTTACTTTTACAACCAGCAAACACATGACCCTCTCAACACTGGATCCTACACCCCCCTGTGTGTTTCTACTGTTTGTTCACTTAAGTGCCCACAGCTGTAACCATCTATAGGCCTTCTATCTCATGTTTGTGTTCATACACCAAACACTCCTGTTTTACACTAAAAACACAGGTGTTATGACCTCCGCGGTTCAAAGCAGCCTCCCACCTTCTCTCTGTGAGTGTAAGATAATGTGTGGGTTTAAACAATGCATGTAGCAAAAAGCAGGACCCTTGTGAAATTAGAAACTGCTTTGAGGTAATGGAGTGTCCAAACCCACATTTACTCTGTGAATAACAATATCAGTTTTACTGCAGCGTTTAGGGTTTTTTCCAAGCAGGGGTTTCTAATCTAACTGTAACATTTACAAAAATACTGCCGTTTTCCTCCCATAAAAACTCTGCCAATCATCAACCACGGAGACCGCAGTGGCTTAGCAACCACATGCAGGCTGGTTTTCATGCAACCTTTGACCCTTTTAAGTTCAAGGGGCTGCATCATTTGTATGTAACCTAAAACCAGGGTGTTCAAAATTCAACCTGACACCCACCCGCAGTATTACTTACTGTGTGTGAGCCTGTGGCAAGAAAACAGTCAGACACGTCATGTGACCGTTCTGAGTGACTCAGATGTAAACATCACTGTATTTCTATGAGCCAACTTTCACCTCTGAGAGGACTGGTGGATTTCACATGTTGTCATGAATAGTAAACTGTTGGCTGAAATCACAATCACTTGTCATTAGGACTTTCTCATGTCAATACCATGTTGCTATGACAACTTTAAAGCTCCTGTGAGCATCTTTCAATCTGTGTCATTTTTGGCACCCCTTGTGGACAAAGCACTCTTAATGTAGGTTAAAACCCGGTGCTGCTGACTCTTGACACTCAAATGTGTCGTTTATTGTGAGTATTTTATGTTAAAACTTGGCTGAACCCCCCCCCCCCCCCCCCCGCACTGATTTCTGGCATTAATAACTAGTGCATGAAAATCTTCAATCTTGTTCCTGATGGTCTGGTTTGTTTTGGATGTCACAAAAAAGCATCAGTATGAATTTCAGTCACTTTTATGAACGTCAAAAAAGTCCACATAGGAGCTCTAAGTTATTGATTTATTTAGCCATGCAGAGTAACTTACTTTCTAAAGAAAACTACCAGAAGCAGAGGACTTATGGTGCATTCCAGTTCTGACTCGGAAGTTGGGATTTCCAATCTCCGAGTCGGAACTTTTAACTGGAACGACTCCCAAGGTTGGATTTTCGACTCGGAAAGTTGGACGACCCACACAACCCCCTAAGTTGACATCTTAAGATGGCGGCGCCAGTTGTAAACATTAGGAGCTAGTTAGAAAGAAAAAAAGTAGGCTACCTTTTGTGTTTCCTCTTCATTCACCGTGTTTGCAGGTTGCAGAAGGATCGCATATTTGTCCAGGAGTTGTTTATATCCGGACAAGGCAAGCGCGAGAATAACTTTCGTAGATGTAGCCATCTTTTTTCCGCTTCCGTTTTTGGCCGTTGGCTACTTTTTTCCGAATTTGTAACTGAAACGCTGATAACTCGTGTGTGACGTCAATTCCAGTTCCGACTTTCGACTTCTGAGGTAAATGGAACGCAACGTTAACCCTCTGGAGTAGATATCCAGAGAGTCATTTACCAGCTCTGGATGGTCAGAGTGTGTGAAATAGTTCTCTGGGTCATTAAATAGACACTGACTTCTGGATGAAATGGAAGGTCTTCTGTTTTAGCTTCTCGGTCTGATTGAGTTTCCACTAAGTAATAATCATAAATGTTCTTCCTTTAGCTGCGAAACTCCGCTGCACTTGGTGATCGACTTGTCAGGGCTGCCCCCACAAACAAGCGACTGCTGGAGGAGAGTAGGTGAGTTGTGTTTAGTCTATATATATGGACCCTATATGTCCTGTTGATGAAGTTAGGCGCTGTTCTGAGCATTATTTGTGGCTATAGAGTGGCGTTTTAGTTGAAGGGTGCGTGAGGAGACATAGACCGCTGTGTATTTCTGTCGTGCGGTCGTTACTAAAGTTGGTATAACTAGAGAAGCAAGCGGTCTGCAACATTAATCTCTCTGAGGGGGTGTTTAACTCGGTGTTACGATGTGTTTGACTGTAACTTACATTTATGCCAGAATATCCCTTCAAGCTAAACTGTGCAATACTTGGTTAAACTGTACGGTTCTCTGTGCAGTATCCTACACTACAAACTGGTTTCACACACACTCTTCTGCTCTTTCTAATATTCTACACTTTATACTAATATTTTCAATCTCTTATTTATTCCTCTTCATTCCTGTTTCTATTCTCCTCTACTCCTATTTGTTTTTTTAAGAGCGAGTGTAATGTTGTAAAGACTGAATTTCTCCCCCGGGCATTAATGAAGTATTCTGATTCTGATGTTAATTTAATGAGATAATTGAAGATTTAAACATCAAATACTTGTGGAATCAAAGGATCCAAATTTGATGATATCATCTAATGAAGTGTAAAGCGTGAAATCTGAGAGCAAGATGAGTTCTAAATTGAAATAACTTATTTTCCATCAGTGCGGCTCATTTCCTCGACTAAGAACAGCTTTCTGTCTCTGCTGCCGCTGTGTATGTTAATACGTCTTTGACAGATTGAGGACTTTGTGATGGCCACTAACAATGACATGTGAACAGTATTTCCCAGGGAATAACGGTACAGCTCTTATCCTCGGGTCCAGCACCAATTAAAGAGAGAAAGAGAGGGGGAGAGAGGGAGAGAGGGGGATGTAGGGAGAGGGAATCATATTATATCTTAATCCATTTGTCCCATCAGAACATTTATTTTCATTTAACAGCTAAAAAAAAGTCCAGATTTTAAGAGGAGCTTTGTTGTCTATGATGACAGTGCATTTTGGTTTTATGAGGTGGGATTGGAGGGGATTTAAAACCCTTTTCAATCTCACGGGAGTCGATTCATTTCAATCCAAAACAGTCTTTTTTGTGTAACGTTACGCAAGCCCCAAAGATGTCGAAAAACGTGGATACTCAATACTGATTACATTTAAAATTGAGCCTTTAGGGAAGGGGTTTTGTCATTAAAAGTAAATCACCTAAATATAAAAAACTTCACTTGTGTGCAACCTCTGCTGCCTCTACAGAGATATGGCGCACTCTGGTGGATATGTGAGGCAGCACTGCTCTCGTCATCTGGCCTCGCAGATGTGTAAAATATTTCCCCTCAATGATTCAACAAAGTGAAATACAAATAAGTTTAATACAATCTGGAGCATTCAAAACTAAGAGCTATAAGTTTCTGAACTACAAGTTTTCTCAAATAGATGCTGAAGAACTTTATTTTTATGGCACTTTTTATACAAAAAATGAAGTTCAAAGTTCCTCACAGAGGCTACAAACAACAATAACAACAATAAAACCAACCCTCCCACCGACACACACACACACACACACCCACAGACCCACACGCACACAACCGCACACAGTGTGAGAATTTAAGATATACCGTTGGAGAGACATGGTCTGACACCGAGACATTACGTAAGGAAAGAGCTACCTTTGGGAAACACTGGAGATAAAAATGGTGAAATGAAAAACTAAAACCTGATGGACTGAAACAAGAAAATAATGTTAAATGAACAGAGAAGTAAAAGCTCTTTATCATGTAAAAGGAGTAAAAGAAGTAAAAACCTGTGACGAGAAAAAGACTAAGAACAGAGGAAATTAATAAAATGACATAAAATAAACAATAAGAACTTTGATTAAAATGAACATCTGCAATAAGGGAAATATAAAAAAGCCAAAATTAGTAAAAAGCCTGGTTAAAAAGGTGAGTCTTTAGCCTCTTCTTAAAAATATCAACAGTCTCTGCGACCCTGAGGCTCTCCGGCAGGATGTTCCACAACCTGGGACCATAAAAACGAAACGCCGCCTCCCCGTGTGTTTTTGTTTTGACTTTGGGAATGGAGGACCTCAGGGTTTGCGAGGGTTGATATGGTAAAAGTAAATCAGATAAATAGGAGGGGCCAAGACCATTAATACATCTAAAAACTCAAAAAAGAACCTTAAAATCAATCCTGAAGCGGACGGGGAGCCAATGCAGCGATGCTAAAATCCTGTCAGCACTCCTGCAGCTGAATTCTGTAAAAGCTGAAGTTTATGCAAGTTCTTCTTTGGGAGGCCAGAGAGCAGGGCGTTACAATAATCTAAACGTGAGGAGATAAAAGCATGCATCAACACCTCAGTGCTGGCCTCGGAGAGAAACTGACGGACTCTGGCTATATTCTTAAGGTGGTAAAAACCTACCTTTGCTATGTTTTTGATGTGTGGAATAAAACTGAGCTCAGAGTCAAAAATTACGCCCAGGTTTGTTTGTTTTTTTTTTTTTTACAGATGTTGATACTTTAAAATCTTGTAGTTTTGGTAAAAGTGTCTCTCTCAGGCCTTCAGGACCAATAACTCAAACCTCTGTTTTGTCCTGGTTGAGCTGCAGGAAGTCGGCTGCCATCCAGGACTTTAAATCTAAAATGCATTTTAAAAGGGCATCAATTGGCCCGCTATTATCAGGAGACACGGCCATGTACAGTTGCGTATCATCAGCATAACTGTGAAAGCTGAGTAACTTCAACTGTTACTTCCCTAATCAGCTAGACAGTAATCCAACTCAAGTACAAAAACTAGAAATTCACCGTAATTATTCTCTTTTATTTGAGGTCCTGTAATTTAATGCATTTGTATTTTTGAAGGCTTTAAAACTTCACAGTTAGGTCATGCTTTATATCAAACAGCACGTACACCAACAATGCAGATTTGTACCCATAATGCAACATCACCTAAGTATTGTTACACAAGAAACAAAACAACAAAGGAGACCTTAAGACAATATTTTATTTGGTTCTTATATTTTGGTTCAACAGGTTACATTTCTTCATATTCCAGGATGACCCCAATAATAATAATATTTATTCACCCGTAGTGATGATCAGAGGATACTGTAGGTGCCAGAGCACCGAAGAAGTCGTGATGCCTTTGCACCGGTGTAAACTCTTGACTGCTGAGAAGTAAACACGAGGACGCACAGCCTGCGATTTCACTGGGATGGATGAACACTTCATATTTTGTGTTTCATCTTTTATATCACCCATCCCTAGCAGCTTTATGTTTCTCTGTGTACATTAGTTTCCATAAGTGCAGGTAAAAAAAAAACTACAGCATATGGATTTAAAAGAGAAGCTGGCATCTGTTGGAAAAATTACAAATCTGAGTCTTTGGAGAATATAAATATTTGAGCAAACTGGCTCTCTGTTTCAACTTCAGCTGAGTCACTTAGACTAAAAAAATAAGCAGCTATAAAAAAAGGTTACCAACCACCTGAGACTTCATTAAATTTCTTTCAACTTAAAAGCCCTTCTTTTTCACCCCTTCCTCGACTCTCTGTTTTCTTCAGTGCTTGGCCTTCTTGGAGTAGTTTTCCACCATCTCAGGTAAGACGCTATCGTCCTGCTCGATGTCCTGCTGCACAGTCTTACCAAGCAGTTCGTAGATTTCCTCAGCTGGGATGCCAATAGGCTCGGCCACCTTCACCGTCAGCATCTTCTCAGTCAGAGTTTCTCCTTTGGGGATTTTAACTCTGGCGACCACTGACTTACCCAGCTAAACGATAAGGAGTAAAGAGGGAGATGTTAAAATCCCAAAAGCTTAGATTTTGGTGTCTTCAGTGGGAGGATAGCTTACCTTACGGCGGAATGGCTCCTCACATGGCCATATCTGCTTGTAACCGGATCCCAGCGCCAGCTCTACTGCCCGGATGGAGCGAATCATCTCGGTGAGCTCAGCGGGCTCCAGAGAGGCGGCGTGATCGTTTCCTTTCCATGTTTTGTCGAAGGTGAAGTGGCGCTCCAGGACCTTTGCGCCCATGGCTACAGCTGCAATTGAAATACCGATCCCAGTTTCATGACCGGAGTATCCGATGGGAATGTCTGGAAATTCCTTTTGGTATTCCTGCAAGTAACAAGTGGAAAAGGAAAAGAGTCGGTGTTTGTAACAGAGGCTTTACTTCAAGAGCAGTATCACTTTTTATCTGAAATTCAAGCCCATCCACAGTAGTTTGCCGTTTGATTCAGCAGATGGCGCTCTTGTCATAACCTGAGCATTGCATCCATCCTCTCTGGATCCAGTAAATCGCTGATCTACATTGATTTGTTCTTGAGAGAAAATGGAGAAGGTGTGCCATCAAAGCTGCCTTTAGGGTGTCATGGACGGGAATTCAAACAGAGCTGCAGAAGGACCGGTTCATCCGTCACGTCAACTTTGAGAATGTTCACAGCTCGCATGGCCACGTCAAACAAAATAAGTTCTGCATACCAGGATATAATGGCGTACGCTTTACTAAAAACGCCATTTCTTAAGATACGATACAGTACAGTGTGATACAATACGATACGATACACTTCATTGTCCCCTTAAGGAAATTTGTCTTGGACAGATAAAGCTGATGACACAAAGAACTAAACCTAACAAAGACACAACCACACAACCCACGCACATACATTGCATGAGAATCCCACAGAAATGGCCAAAAGAAACACACCGACAATAGACAACAACGACAAAGAACGAGACACAGCGAGGTGAGACAAGGCAAACGGGACCAAGAAGAAAATGAGAAGATAACAAGATAGCACCCTGACATTATTACACAATCCGGCTATATTTGAGGAAACATTACTTAAAAACCTAACTGAGGTGGATCACGGCACGCTAACCAGCTAGGCTCTCTGCGTGCCCCATACGCTTTCTTTTTAAAATTCAAGAAGTGGCTGCTACTGTCTTCTCACCGGTATCACTCTGAGGTGGACATCTTTATCTGCCAGAGGGTAACAGCTGGTGCACTGCAGGATGGTAAAGTTCACGTCGTGTTTCTTCAGTGTTTTGTAAACTTTGCGCATCGTCTCCAACGACTGCATGCCGCTGGACACCACCATGGGCCGCCCTGAGAAAAGACAGGACAACATCAAATCAGGGCTGTCCTCTTTCTCTCTGAATACTCATTAAAGGTTACTCTTTTATATCATGGGTTTAGCTAACCAAGCAAGTCTGAGCCGAGTTGTCCTACTTCCGTCCTACCTCGTCAGGAAATCCTACCATGCACTTCCTGTTTCGTTTGTTTTCATATATATTTTTTATTTTAATGGCTTTGTTCGTGCAAATAGGACGCTAAAACACAGACTGAATTCGTAGATCTGAATGAAACGAAGACTTAAGGTCCTTTCACACCGGGATGATTTTTGTCGTGCGATTATTTCGGGCGTCGATAATTTTTTTCGAACCCGTATCCTGTCAATACAAGCGTTCACATCAGCAACGTTCTCCCGTTCTGCGATATAGCGCCATTTATTTTTTCGGATCACTCAATCGCAGTGCTGTCACAGCACCGTTAGGTCTCGGTTGTTCCCTTACGTTTATGGATTATAGTTTAATGTTCTTATCTGGTACTGGCCCCGACTCAGTACATGCTATCATGACAGACAGACACTCAACACGAAGTCTGCTGTTGTGTCAGTCTTCTCGCTTCCACCGGGACGCATCTTTTTTCCGTCGGGCTTGATGTGTATAGTCAGAATTCGCCTCTGAATATTTCGTAATTTCGCGTTCTGTATGCGTGTCGGCCCCGGTGTGTAAGGACCTTTATGCAGAAGGTCAGAATGTGCTTCCAGATAGAGCTATGCTTGTAGGGCGTGTTGATAGGTGAAAATACGCCATTAGATTATGCTTCCACATAGATATAAACAGGTAAGATTTTTCGGCAGGTGAAAAAGTAACCGATTCAAGCTTCACCCAGCCATGACTATATTAACTTACAGCTAGCTTTAACAGGGCAATGCAGTAGTTAATAATAGACTCATTTAGCTGAACATATACTGCATGACAGACCTGATTTTACAATAACACCAACTCTTGAACAGCTGTTGTGGAAAATCCAGCATAAACAATGCACTGGAGACAGGATGAGATCTGAAGAACAGCCTGGGTGTCTTTTATTGTACAGATGTAGAAATCAGTACAGATGACAAACAGAGTCTCGACCAAGAGCGAAGGAAGCCTCCCTAGCTTTTCTTCTACTCCCTTTTATGCTCACAGGTGTGTGAGTGTGTGTGTGTGTGTGTGTGTGTGTTCTGTCATCATGGGTATGTCATATCAATTCTCCAGAGGGCTACCCATGATGACATGTCGTACTGTTCTGACCCTCAACACTTTGTTTAGACTAGTCTTAACTCTCGCAGAGATTAAATGTTCCAACAGACAGATAGTTTGGGCTCCTGCAAGACAGCCTTGCTTACAACCTCAGGGTCATGAGGCTGCATGAGCAGGCCAACCTAGATTATTTGTAGCTCCTTACTAAAAGATAATTACTCTATATTTCTTAACCTAAATGTATGAAGAGATTCCCCTACACAGTCCCCCCTTTGAAAGTTCTTACTTTCATAAAACCCTGATCATCATATCAAACACTAAACATCCTTAAGTGATTAAAATAAAACATGTTCACTGAATTCTAAATGCTATGTGTGTGATTTGCTGCATCTAAGACTTAATAATATATGGCATGAAACAAAAATCAAAATGCATTAACCAGTTATATGAATAATGCAACCTTATCAAATCGTGATGTAATTCCCCCAATTATGCAAAAGTTATAAAATTGTGATGTTAATTCTCAAGAAATGTAATAATCAATGTTCATTGGGTTGAATAAAAATAATTAGTATGTGATTAACTCCATGATCAATGTGTGATTAGTGTAGTCCTTTAACTCTGCGAATGAATGGATAATGAACTGAACATGTTTCATTCGCAGAGTTAAAGGACTACACTAATCACACATTGATCATGGAGTTAATCACATACTAATCAAGGGGTTTGTCGCAGGTTGCTACAATGTAATGTAATGGTATTATCAGAAGTTGACACTTTTTCTATGCAAATGAAATTATGTCGGCGCATCCAGGAAATGAATGGTCGCCAGGGGGCGGGGCCGTAACATTCTTTCCCTGCTGAAACAGCCCGGCAGGGTTTTAAGTCTTATGCGCTGATATAATTTGAAATGATCCTTGCTATGGTATGATGGTGAAGAAATTGAACATCAAAGTAAGATATAATTCAACCCAATAAACATTGATTATTACATTTCTTGAGAATTGATATCACAATTTTATAACTTTTGCATAATTGGGGGAATTATATCACGATTTGATAAGGTTGCACAATTCATATAACTGGTTAATGCATTTTGATTTTTGTTTCATGCCATATATTATTAAGTCTTAGATGCAGCAAATCACTCACAGCATTTAGAATTCAGTGAACATGTTTTATTTTAATCACTTAAGGATGTTTAGTGTTTGATATGATGATCAGGGTTTTATGAAAGTAAGAACTTTCAAAGGGGGGACTGTGTAGGAGAATCTCTTCATACATTTAGGTTAAGAAATATAGAGTAATTATCTTTTAGTAAGGAGCTACAAATAATCTAGGTTGGCCTGCTCATGCAGCCTCATGACCCTGAGGTTGTAAGCAAGGCTGTCTTGCAGGAGCCCAAACTTTCTGTCTGTCGGAACATTTAATCTCTGCGAGAGTTAAGACTAGTCTAAACAAAGTGTTGAAGGTCAGAACAGTACGACATGTCATCATGGAGAATTGATATGACATACCCATGATGACACACCCTCACACACCTGTGAGCATAAAAGGGAGTAGAAGAAAAGCTAGGGAGGCTTCCTTCGCTCTTGGTCGAGACTCTGTTTGTCATCTGCACTGATTTCTACATCTGTACAATAAAAGACACCCAGGCTGTTCTTCAGATCTCATCCTGTCTCCTGTGCATTGTTTATGCTGGATTTTCCACAACACAGCTCATAAAGAGAGTTTTATTTTCCAAAACAAGCCGACATTCACTAAAGACTCAATCAAAGGCTTGAAATCGGTATTTGGTTATATTTAAAGTGGAAAACGCCAACGTCTTACTGCTTTTCTCAATGAACAGCTGATCGGTAGGGTGAAACATACAACTAAGAGCATAAGTCCAGACATCGTATCAGATATGAGAGTTTGCACCTGTCTTGGCAGTTTTCTCCAGATAGGGGAAGTTGTTGGTGTCATTAGAGCCCACTTTGATGAACGGCACATTCATATCATCCAGGAACTCCACCGCCATCTAAAGACAGAATAAACCGAGATTAAACTTGAACTCATATTGAACTTTTTTTTTTTAAAACAAAAGGTTAATTACTGGGTTTTTTTCTCACCTCATCCATCGCTGAAGCGGTGAAGAAGATCCCCACCTCATTTGCATATTTCTGCAGTTCCTCGTACTGCTCTTTGTTGAACTCCAGGTGGCGCTTATGCTCACCGTAGCTTGCCCCCCAGGAGTGTTTCGAATTGTACGGGCGCTCCAAGGCTCTCTTGTTGAATTTGTACTCTAAAATACTCTTCTGAAATTTGGCGCAATCTGCACCGCAGTCCTGTGAAGGTGAGAAGAAACTGGATTCAGATTCAGAGAGCTTGATCTTGGCAATTTGATTTTGAGAGTCCTCTCAGATCATACGTAGTGTAACCTTGCAGAAAAACATACAATATTTAAATGAAAGAGTCAATAAATGAACAGTAATGTGACAAAAATGCTCTTTAAACTCTAAAAAGCGTTTGACGTCGACAGCTTTCTACAAGAACGACCGTTGGTACAATCATTCTTGTAACCACAAAACAAACTATCACACAAAGCACTGTCTCTCTTCCCCGAAAAAAACACTCAGTGTCTGAGTTCCTGGTAGTGAAACCAACCAGTTCTCAACCTTTGGCCCCCGTAGGAAATTGCGGTGATGAAATCTGGAGCAAAAAAAAAACCCCATCTTGCAGTTTGCTCCAGTTTTGCAGTTTCCTCTTGAATAAATGAATAGATAAGAGGAAGCCAACTGTGTGTAAAAGCACAGTTTGTATGTTGAGCCACAGACCGATTTAATCTTTGATTATCATAAGATAGTAATTATGGCAGACTTTGCATGGTATGGTATTCTTAGATCATCCACGGGTGACATTGTCTTATTCGCTGAAGATTTTGTTAAGATTGTTTATTTCACAGTAACCTGCACCAGGAAATGGTCAAATATTTCTCACTAACTGCTCAGGGCTGTTAGCATAAGTGTGAGTGAATCAGCTATTGTTTATTGACAGAGGCAGTGATTTTAATAAAAACATACAACACTGGCAGAACCTGTTCTGCAGAGCAGTTTATGAGGCATTCAACCCTTTAAGCAGAAAGTATCCAGAAAATCATTCATCTGTAACAAGCAAAATGAAAACCTACTGCAGGGACAAAACTGGTGTTTGAGAATAATTAGTGACATCTATCTGTCGGATTCTAGATCAAAATGCTCCCCGGCTGTCCCCTCCTGTAACGGTGGCTTTTAAGGACAAAAAATTCATGTTTTCCATAAAAAAAAATAAAATAAAATAAAAATTCTAATTCTTTTACTGTTAAAACTGCATGCCACCGACTACGATGCACTGTACCTTTAAAAAAAAAAAAAAAAAAAAAAAAAAAAGAAAATACTTATTACAGGTTGCAGACCAGTTCAATTCAATTCAATTCAACTGAATGCTATAGAAAAGAGTTTTTTAATCTGTTTTTAAAGATGGCTACTGATGTCTAAGTGTGTCAGGCAGGGTGTTCCATTTTTGTGGGGCGTAAATACTAAATGGAAAATGACTCAAAATGATGTTCGATCATCAGTGTTATTTTGACTTATTCTTTGGCTGGATTCTTGTTTTCGGTTAATGCAAAAAAAAAAATCATCATCAGTGGTCTTCGTGACTCCTTTCCACACTCGAGGCTGAATCTTATAATTTTTTCACAAACATGACGTGGTATGTTAAAAAACTCGATTCACTGCCTCAGTCCGACTGTGTGAGACTGCCAGTTGTTGTGGTGTGACCTTTTCGCTTGTCTGTCTCATTATCTCATCATACAGCAACTGTCTAGATCAGTGCAAAGTGTCAATTATCATATTTTAACGCATGCACTACAATCCTTAAAATATGGAAACCACCAAATTATGAGGTGCATGAGAAACCATAAATGTCAACGGGTTATTGTGTTTGGATGAAGGTGTTGACAGCCTCTCCTGCACGCTCTGCTCAGGTATCTCTCCTCGCCCAGATGAAACCAGATATTTTCTGTAAATGTTTGATATTAAACGGGTTTATTTGACCCTCACTGATACTTCCTCATACATTTGGTACTAATATTAACAGAAAAAAAGAGTCTTTCTCCTCTTTCTGTGAGATTTTATATCTTCTATCTCTGTGTTTTGTCTTTGTAATATTTAGCTTGTTTTAAGTGAATTTGATGCAATTTTAACATTGCGACTGTTTGTGTTTGTTTGGGAATTTTAGTTAGGGACGGGCATTACAAATGAGCTTCAGCTATAAATGCAGTAGTATGTGGCAATGGTTTACCTGCTTCATACTTGCCCCTATACAAAGAAACATTAAATAAATAAATAGATAAATTCAAGCTCTTCCCAGGTGACACTCTTCACCTGTGAGCCATCAGGTATCACATCTCACACTCCCAAACCGAGCACTGGACCAATAAATGTCTGGAATTTATATTTAAAATATTTTTAAAAATATATAAGAAGAATATATGAAAGCAAGATTGACACACAAGTTATCTCTAACATGATTTAACTCACTTTAGTCTGAAATATTCTCAATAATCTGATTTTATGATGAGGGGAAAAAAAGAAATCTAGCAGCTTTGTAAAGTAAAACACAAAATTTAAAGTAATGATTCATATTTGTTGTGATAAAAATTCATTTTAGATTATATATGTACAGAAAAATGTTTGTGTTTATTTATAAAACAGTGCATACATTCAGAAATTCACACAAAGTTTATCAAAAACCACTTAAATGTTTACAAAGTTAAAATTTTTTCCATTTTAGCTCGATTATTTCTGCTCCTATTTATTCAAATATTTCAATTGAAGAAAAAAAACATCATTTTAAGCTTTAATGACTCACTTAAATGAGCATGAAAAAAAGTAGTGATGTCTTCATTAAAAATAAACCTCTAAGAGCTGATTTAATTACCTTTGCCCTTTTGATCATTTGCTTGGCAATCTCGACGTCTCCCTGGTGGTTTATCCCAATTTCAGCAATGATGAAGCAGGGCTGGTCCCCTCCGATCTTCCTGCCGGGGCAAAGCTCAAACTTAAGAGGCATTTTGTCAGATAAAGAAAAGAGTCACTAAACTGCGGAAAGTTTGTGTTTGGATGAGTGATGAGCAGAGAGCTGTGCGCAGGGAAACGGTGCAGATCTGTCCAGGCGGTGATTCTATTGCTGATGATTAATATAGACACGCACCCCCACGCCCCTCCCATTCCACAGTAATTATCTATGGCATGATCATCCAATCCAGCCTATACCCACACACCAAACACAAACTTCCGCATCGTTGTCCATTTTTTTAACACTAAGATCGACAAGAATATTTAAGAAGAAGAGAAGCCACCTATCAAGTTCTGCCTTGTTTGTTTGTTTGTTTGCAGTCCTGAGACTTAAAAAACTAACCATGCACCGTTCCTGGAGAGAGTAAAGCAGCTCAAACATCCTCCTCCACTGTCTCTCCTCACCCTCCACAAATCTTCGCAGGAGGCTGTGATTTTAGTGAAATTGAAAACACAAAAACACCGTCACTCTCCTTCTCTCTGATGCGTGACCGTTATTTCAACTCTCATAACGAGGACTTTAATAACCGCTCTCATGTGACATTTGGGTGGTTTTGAGAGGTGGGGATGTGGTGAAGAGATGCACGATATTAAAGCGTGTCTGATGACGGAGGGGCCGAGGGGACCGAGGGGTCAGTAAGGACGTGTGAAGTGAGCACGGAGGCTGACCGTAGCGGTGCCAGAGGGGGGAAACTTGGTTAGGGCGAGTGATGAGAGAACCAGGGGCGGAGCCTACAGATGACTCAGTCAAGATCGCTCTCTGACAAAGTTTATCCTTCATTCTTTACTTTTCCAGACTGTTTCTGGAACTTTTAAGAGTTAAAACTATTGACCATGGGTCCTAACTATCATAATGGAGTTCATAAACATGTATTGACTCTTTAGTTTTGTTTTGTTTTTTTTTTCATCTTCAGCGTGAACAGTGCTCTTTTGAAAAGTAAAATCATTTATCATTCAATAGGAGGTTTTCAGTCACGTGATCCTGACTTCACGCAAGGACCAAATGGAGGGCAGGAAGCGACCGACCGCAATGGAGGAGATGCGCCGGTTTAGATGCGTGCCGGTATTTAGCCTTAGATGGAGTTTACCACCCGCTTTGGGCTGCATTCCCAAACAACCCAACTCCGAGAAGACCGTACCCTGGCGCAACGGGGGCCACTACCGGCCTCAAACGGTCCACGGGATTCGGCGCTGGGCTCTTCCCTCTTCACTCGCCGTTACTGAGGGAATCCTGGTTAGTTTCTTTTCCTCCGCTCAGTAATATGCTTAAATTCAGTGTGTCGTCTCGTCTGATCTGAGGATGGGGGTCAAGGAGCGGGGATAGGGGGCCGAAAGGACCCTCTTTTTCCCCGTCCGCCCCCTCCGGAGCTCTGGGGCGCTCCCAGCGCGTCTGGCCGCTCTGCACCCCCCTCCCTACACAGTTTGACACGACTCAACTTCGAAATGAAAGAATTTAATTATGGGCTAAAAATGAGTCATAAACTTTAACAAAGTGGTCACTGCACACACACATTATCCGACGCAGCTCCACCAGACCGTAGGCCAGTGGTTCTCAAGTCCAGTCCTCGAAGTTTACCTTTGTGAGTTTGTTGAGGTCACAGAAGCTTTGGAGGAGTGTGGAGCGTCTTTCAGCTCCATGGACAGTGATTTTGTCTCCATAGCCGAGAGGGTAACGGGCTCCGCTTTCTTAGCCAAAGTTTGTTTTTGTTTTGCAAAACCTTTTACAGCCAGTTCACAAAGCTGTTGGCTAGTCAGAGTGTTTGGACAAGCTAAGACGCCAAGATGATGACTGGTGGTAGAGTGGAGGTTCTGGACAAACAGTGTTTTGAAGTCCAAGTCCTCCTCCATTTCTTGCTCATTTCGAGAACCGAAGAAAGCTTTGCATAAATGGTTGTAATATCGTTGGGGAGATTCTGATCTCCCTTGTTTGATAGACAGAGCAGCCTGTCGGGGTTAAATGGTCAGAAAACCGTTTCTCCAAATCACTCAGAGACTTTGAGGTCTCTTCTCTTCTTCTCTTTGTGCCCTCATTTCCACGAAAGCACAGAAGTAATCTTTGTACCCAAGCTGAGAAGACATCATGGCAGACATACGTCTTTGTCTCGTAGTGTCGTGGTTAAGACTGTTTCCAGAAGGTCAGCCATTGCACCCTCCGGATTGGAGGGGTTTGGTTTTTGAGTCCTACGGGCAAAACCCACAGGATCTGGAACGGCTCTGCTCCACTCCGGCACGGCAGGTGGATCAAATACACAAGCATTATAATCAATGTGTGTCATTCCACAGAATCCATCCGCTGTCCGGCTCAGCTGCAGATCAGCTCTGGCGGGCAGATCAGATACGCAAGGCTTCTATTTTTGCCGCTATTGTGTTGTCATCTGAGTTTGTCATCATTGTTGTCATGTGTGTCATTTATTGTTGGTGTGTATGTAGTGTCCGTTGTTGTCTGTGATGTGCAATGTACTATCAGTAAAGACAAATCTCCTCACAGGACAAATAAATCAAATCAAATCAAATTAAGTAAATCACCTCACTTAATTTGATATTCTGTTCCTTCGAGTCATCTCAAACTCATCAATCAATCGTCTGCATCTCTTTACCGAAACAAAACATGCCTGACACAAGAGACACTAGCCAGTGAGGACAAAGACACAGCCATGACTAGTCAGCTGATACCTCAGTACATGAATAACCTGTAATAATAATAAAAATAATAAATAATTATTGTCATTATTATTACTGAATCTGCATTAATAAGTCAGGTGTGTGTGCGTGTTTGATTGTTTTGTTTAATTATTATTACTTTTTTTTTCCATAGAGAAGAAGAGGATGTGTTTGGGGATGTGATTGGAGTTATTTCCACTACAGAGTCTGAACTGTTTTTATGCTTTTTTCAACGTCCATGAAGGTTTTTGAGAGTTTGATTACTTCCCTTGATTTCAGTGCATTTATCAGATACTGCAGTTCTCCACATGTCCACTTGAGGCCAACTCCAAAAGTGTGACAATCTCCATTAAAGTCCCACTCCGATCCTTTTTTATTATTTACTTCTTAAAGTGTTCTCAGTGGTCTTAAAATTGTGATGATGAAGTTTTTCGCCAAAATCACGTTACCTGTGTCATTTTCAAGGACTTTTCTTCTGCAGAGCTCCAGTAGCTTATTAGCCATTCGCCTCTGAGTCGTGGGCGGAGACAGCGCTGCTCCTCACACTCCCCTTCATGCTAGCTTGCGGCCTAACATTGTGTGTGTAGTAGAAATAGCAGGTTACAGACAAGCTTTTCCACTCTCAGACACTAATGTCTAAAGGGGACATGATGAAAGTTAATATCACAATTAACTTTCTTATTAACATTGCAATCCGCTAACGCCAACGCTTCTTCCGCGATCATCCTCTCTACTTCTCCGAGTCTGGCCTGCATAGCGGGGCTCCGGGTGCGCAGCTTGGATTTGTGACGTAGGAAATCTCACTTTTTCTGAACCTATCGTTTGGGTCCGCCAGAGATTCACAGCGATTTGAACGCAGAAACACTCAGAAATGCAATTTGGCACTTAGTCTTCTCGTGATATGTTCTGTAGCATCAGAAAAATGCCATATGAATATGTGGAGAACAAGAAAAAAATGATTTTTATTGGAGTGGGTCCTTAAGCCCCTTTTTAAAAGTTCCAAACGGTGCAGCATAATTACACGTAGTTCTGGCAGGGCTGTTCGTGCAATCGAACACAACAGCACCATGGATGCGACTTGAACAAGGCTTCTTTTATTTTCAGCCTCTGTGAACTTCAGACAGGTGAAAGGTCAAAGTTACATTATCTGCCCTAAACTTCGGTATGTAGAAGTTTCTTTTTACTAATTTGTACAGTGTAAACCATCTGGTCATGCCTAACAATTGGACCATTCAGTAATAGCAAATAATTCCTAAACTTTGATCGTATTTCATAAATGATTAACTCGTAAGATTTTTTGTTCAACCACTAGATTCATAAAATCCTCCAGTGTGTGCTCAGCTTTGAATCAAAACAGCTCCAGTGTTGTTGGTCTATATGGGAGCGCGGTCACACCGACACGCACCACCTAGCGACCTGGCATGCACATTACAGCGTTTTTGTGTAAACACAGCATAAAAACTGAAAACGAAACGGCACTTTTCCGTTTTCTATGGAGACCGTTTCCATCTTAAAGTGTCCTAAAACAATCCTGAGGCCCCAATGTCAGCACCCCCAAATCCAACACAGGCCACCAATCTGCTACTTCTCAGCATTTAGCAGCCTGATCACTGAGGGGATACATGAGTTGGAGTACCTGTTTGTTTTTCTTGGGGGGACATAGTAGCGCCTCCTAGAGGGCATAAGAGAAAAGTCTGAGAAAAGGATGTGTCCAGGCTGGTCCATGATTCCTTTGGCTTTCTGGCCCACTCGTTTCTCCCAGAGAGAGCTCAGGCAGAACAGAGAGGTTCAGGCGCTCCTTTCTCTCCACAGCCATCAGACTGTTTAATCAGACTGTTTAACAGGCCACACACACACACACACACACACACACACACACACACACACACACACACACACACACACACACACAGGTCCTAGCACGGTGAAGCACTTTAAGATTTAGGGTTTTATCTTATTTACTGTCATAGCTATTTATTTTTCAGTTTGAAACCACAAAACCAAAAAGAAGCAGCAACGTTAGGACAGTTGCAAAAGCTTATTGAATTTCCCTTCAGGGAAAAATGAAGTTCTTCATATTTTGTCTTCAGAAACATACCAAAGATTGTAGAAAATCTTCTTTGTGGTAATTACAGTAAAGCCATCTGCAGTCAGCTTGTAAAAATCCCCCCCTTGTATGAGTAACTACTTTTCTTTGAGCGGTATGTCTAAAATGAGTGATGATCTCATCGAGTTGTCACACATTTAGCTCCGTTCTCTTTCTTCAGACCTGCTTTAGGATCCACTTGTCATAAAGAATACTGTCACAAAGTATAGTTTTCATGAAAGGAAATACTTCTCTTAAGTCTCGAGGACATTTCTTGCAGTCTGTTGATCTGAACCTGTCTTACGAGAGAAGGACACTATTCTGTTTAGGCTTCAACGTAT